AGATAGATAGATAGATAGATAGATAGATAGATAGATAGATTATGCATATACATATAACCGTGAATTATTTAATTTAGTGCTTTTCTGACAGTCTTGGACTCGTGTCCAACATTTGCGCTTAGCAGCTAGCACCATGGAGATAATAGTGCCGCCTTTAATAGCTTGAATTTTCTCCGCTGTCACTTTAATATGACTCGGGCGTTTTTGTTAAATTTAATTGCAGTTTGGTTTTGTTTATTAAAACCCACCGATTGAATGCCATTGCTGAGACAAAGACTAAACGCCCTTTGGTAAACATAACCAATAGTAACCATGTCTTTTCAGCTTTCGATACGGAGTTGTTGGCAAATAGGCTCTGGAATTGGCCCATCAGACGAGAACAAATTGAGTATGGCAACTGTGTTTGATGAAATTGAACGCTCATCGAAAGAGCCCTCTTCGCGTTATTCCATATCAAATCAATTAGATTGTACAGTTTCCACAGCACCAACCTGCTCCTCTAGTGCTCCACTCAAATCCACACTAGCAGTACCGCAGGATACATTCTCCTGTTCTCCTAACTTTTCAAACTCCCATCACCGATCATCCAGATTTACTCCTCACGGAAATTGTATGACACCCGAGAATCCACTTTCGATCAATACTTCCTCACCTCCCCTCCATGCTTTCAAACAATTTCAGTCCAATGATACTAGCTCAAACTCTGTCCATTCGAGTAAGTCATATCAATTTTAAACCTCCAAAAGCCTGATTAGGTTTGCTTGTTGATGCTCCAAAATTCGTGTTTGTTAATGCCAGCTGGTGAGCTGAATGCCTTTAATGAGAGTGCACCTTTCATTCCTTGAAACATTTATCATTAGGTAGAAATGAGGTACGTGATGTGCGTTGTCGCGATGATATTATAGAGACGATTTTTAAAGTACATTTTTAAAAGCTGGCCACATTTCATTCCCACCGAACAGAGATTAATTATACTTGATCAGGCGGCCGAATTAAAAACTAGCGGGATTTTTTTGTCATCGCCACATGTTCTGCATTGAGCCAAGCCCTCTGAATTCACACACGCGGATAATTCCGAGACAGGACCCTGTAGTTTTACCGTGGTTTAAGTCTAGGTGACCAGACTGTGCACGCTTAGTGCTAATATGTCACTGTGGGGCCTACGTGCGAACGCATGACTACGAGTGCACGATTGATTCGAACATTCTCCTCGTCACACCTACGGCCCTTGTGGTTGTTATATAAATGGGCGCCATAATTTTTGTTTTAAGTGGCTTGAAGTAACACCATAGTTAGAAAAAAACTATTTAAACTTGGCGCTAACTTAGGCTTCAAAAATGTGACAACAGTCTTTATCAAATAAGTTTTACCTGAGGATTAAGCAGAATAAGCTGTGCATGATGAGAAATCGCAAAGTAAAAAATACTGTAGATTTTAAAAAAAACCGGACGGATTCGCTTGTTCAGAAAGAAAAAAAATAATTTTTTACTTTGAGAGGTGTTTAATTTCGGTTTAACAAAGAATACTTACCTTCATTGTCAGAAGCTCCCGACAATAGGTTGCCAGCGCTCCGATTATGCTTTTAACCTATTTGTTCAATATTTTTGCCGTGAAAATCGAATTTGTTAGGTACTTTTTACTTTTAGTTTCGTATTGCTGAAAAAGAGCTCTGGGTTCGCGAAGGAGATATTTTGGCTGAACTCCTGAATTTCGTCATGTGGAATAGTCATGTGGTAGCAAATTTTCCAATCAATTAGTTTTTTTCCATCAGTTTCATTTTAATAACCCCATTGGACGTGCCCTTTAATTCTTATTAGATCACTGAATTAATAAAATCAAACGTTGTCTTTGACCGAAAAATTATACCTTTTCCATGAGCAGAGAACTACAAGAAATGGCTGTGGAATCCTCTATTTATCACACTCGAACACATCTCATCGCTTAGGCCTTATTTAGTAAATACTGCTGGTCGAGAAGAGTGTGTAAAAAAATTAAACGAATAATCTGGCGCGATAAACGACTTGAGAACCCGCATTCACAATCGAGGCTTTTAGTTTATGGTCGAGGCGATGATTTATCACTTGAGGTCGAAGGCTGGAGGAGGAGGAGGAGATGACAAAGCGGCACACATCGCTTTCTTGTAATGTAAACATTGTGCTAGGGTGTCTCAATTAAAAACTAGGGGGTCTCTCTGTTTAGTGAAATTAATCTGCTCACACTGAACAATTTTCAGAGGGAGAGGGAGGGAGAGAACGAGTTGGCGGTCTCAGTGCACTTGGGTAGCATATTGACAACGAAATTACACCCTCGAACTAGATGCTACCACACATGTACGTGTGGTTGGATTCTTGATTTATTGTCCCCAAAATGGCGATTCAAAGGTGCACATCAAGGTGTACTCGTGTAATTGATAGAGGGGTGTGCTACTTCATTACTAGCCCACTCAACAATGGTGCTTCTACCTATGACGTCATTTATTGTTGATAATCGAATTAATCTATATTCTTCGGATTAGCTAACTGTTGATCTGACGACATATGGAGGAGAGGTAGATTATTCGTTTATAAGCCACGTGGAATCTAATGCCAAAAAATTGTTATTTTCCATTTCGCTTATTGATTTTTTTATTTGCTTGGTATGATTTTGAATTTAATTGAGGGGGGAGGGGGAAATCCACCTTTAAAATGTTATAGAACCCTTAATTACTATTTACAAGTGTATTTAACTTATCACGAAATGCCCAAATAAGACGTTTGTGTTTTTCTTGAATAAACTAATCCGTTTCCAGCGTTCTTGTAGAAGAGAGTGAAACTTATCAATTCCGATCGTAAGAAAATTGCATGTTAAAAAAAACAATTGAATTTCATCATTAAAAATTAATCAACTTTCCTGGCTTTGGAGTGTGTAAATTAAAAGGATTCAGGTTTTATCTAAGGTGGCCATTCGGTGAGATTTTGCTCCTTTTGGAATTGAAGTAAAAAAACCGTGCTAAATATCTAAACACATATTAATGCACACCACTTATACCAATGGATGGAACTAGGAGATTTTTTTTGAAATAAGTTTTATTGGGACAGTTCGCAAGGAGGCATTCAACTGAGTCATCTTCTAAAGCCAGTGTGGGGGGGGGGGGAACAATGAATTCTTTCTCTCACCTTTAGATATTTGGGTTTAACTTTTTTGTGTGACCCATGCAGAATTGAGCTATTTCAACGCCATGTGGCTTAAATTTTAAATTTTAAAAGGGGATTTTCAGTCGAGTACGGCAGTTAGGCTCTTTAACAGCTGCCAAAGGAACATGGTGCAACTGTTTTTGAGGCAGGATTTATGTAGTAGTTGTTGCACTGATTTATAGCCTTTGGATTGGGGGGAGGGGGTGTGGGGGTGTGAGGGGGGGGGGAGAGGGAGATCGCACAATGCCATTTAGGATAAAAGCATGCATTATACATATATGCCTCTTTTCAGAGGTTTACTCTGTACCTTTTTTTAGCCTTACTCAGTTGCGTCGAGAAGTCGAATGCTAAATAGAGAGCTATCCAGATCTGCAAGGGACAACTGAGTATGCCCATGGCTTGTTAATGTCTACTTTCCATCTTGATTTCTTTGATCAAAGGACTTGTTTTTGTGTGAGGAAATTTTGATATCTGCCATATTGGGAAAATAGTCAGATTCACAACTTATTTCTGTGTTTTGCTACTCAATTATTAATCCCAGGACAAATTTCGATTTCTTCAGAAAGCGGAGTTAAAAGCGAACGATTCGTTTCTCAGACGTTTGATTACTACCAATAAATGTACGAAAACAATAAACTTTAATAACCAATTAGAAAGGAGAGCTTAAGCCGACTATTCTTATTTGACTGTTATGCATTAAAAATGGTTACAAAATTTACATTTTTGACATTTTTCTTTCGATTTCAAGAGAATTGCGCTTTGAGTTGTCTTACTTTTTCTTTCCTACTTTTTTCTAACTTCACGAATTATATAATATATAATTTTGTGATATTTGGTGTTTCATTCACTTCTCCCTTTCGCGATTATCTTGAGATTTTGGCTTTTCCATACTCCTTCGCACTTTCAAAGTCGAGATTCAAATTATCGTCTGATAAACATTGGTATTCACTTCTAGTTTATGTTAGTTTACAGTCGAACGATATTTACGTTGGATATCATTAGGTCGAAATTTTTCTGTTAAGTAGTGCATTTAATTTGATAGGGTGGCCGATCAAACTTTGCCCGGGAAAATATTTATAAAGCATTTGGCTCCTCTTGATAAATCTATTTCATAAAATTACACATGTGTTATAACATTAGTTTTGGGATCATAACGATTGATTTATGTAAATGGAGGGGGGGGGGG